GAGAGAGTGTCACGCTCTCTACACGTCAAGCACCCTTGCAACAACTCTTTGCGGGGTCCGTAGGTGGCCAGTTGCAGGGCTAAATTTCTGTCCCTATCCAATATACCCTCATTTTTCCGTGGCAGTCCAAATTTTCCCGACATGCAACCCATTTAACCTCTATTATCGGACCTACCTATTGTATTTATTGTTAATTTGTTCTTGTTCTGAACATGCATGAAATATTTGCCACTGAACGTTAAGCAACCAACAATCAATCAATCAAACCTGTCACATTTTATTTTGTACCATTAATTTATTATTCTCCTTATTTATCATAAGACCATTCTAGAAAAGAAGCAATATTCTTAATAAATCGGTTCAAATAGAATTAGAGAAGTATGCAAGTAGTCCAGACAATCAAACTAATGGAATGATATATACATAGAGAAACGGAATATTAAATTGATAATTAAACTTAAACAAAGATTAATATACAACGTAGAGTCCTTTGATTTAAAGGTAGACAAACTTTGCTATCACAATGACCAGAACTATGTCCCATAAACTCCCTTCTCTTATAAAAAAAAAATAGTTAAAACACTATAACCTCCACAGCCTCAACAGCCTCCGACACATAAACCACCAGAAGATTGAACTAGTACCTGTTATCAAAGTTTGAGTACGTCTGGTACAGCTGAAAGTTCATACGAAATAAAGCTAGCGAAAATAAGCGAAGTCGTGGAAATTCGCATGAACCCCAAAACAGAGCGAGCATGATGCATCTACAGAGTATAAAAGAAAACTCATCAGCGATACAAGGTTTTAATTTTGAACGCCTAATGCACGTTTTGTCTCCAGTATTTCCTGCTATTCATGAATTATCCGCAATGCGTGCAGACTGAACAATAATGATAGAGAATTGGACACGATGAGGAAATTTACATATATGTCCAATAATCTTGTTATGTTTCAGTAATGATTATTCTTATCTATATGTTTTGCTTGTAAATTTTCAGTTCTTAAAATATGCTAAGATAAAATATAATAAATGGAACAAAACACGTGAAACAAAAGTCTATCTTAAGCCATTCATACCTATTTTATCACAGTGGAGAGAAAGTATCGAACATTTTCTTTTCGAGTCACAATTGATAGGCGACATTCACTTTTTAGTTAACAAATTTGAAATTTGAATTATTCAGGATATTAAAATATTTAACGGAATTTGCGAATAATTAACCTATGAGTATTCATATTGTGTTTTGCAGATTTTGATACAAGTTGACACACGTGCGAGAATGAGTATTTTTAGTAAGTAGCATAATCTTAAAGAGGCTATTTATGATTTTCACATAAAAAAGTATATGCTTTTTCTCTTTCTCAATGACAAATGAAGGATATGTCGTATATATAAAACGAATCAATTTTCTTTTCATGATTTATCTTGTCGGCAATTTTTTTTTATCGGAACAACACAAAACAGTTCGAAAAAATACCCATCCTTGATTTAACCTTTGAATCCAACAAATGCACAGGAGTACAAAGTTTAGCGAAATATGCCAGAACAACGATAAATATTGGTAAATGGTATGATCACAGGATAATTTTGAAGGCCTTAATGAACTTTAAATTATACCAAAGTTGCAAAATCCTGACCTGATCCTACGTATTGAATGATTGTAATGGTCGGTTGAAAACAAAAATGTACGACGAAAGAGATGATTTCAGCTTTCGAATTGTGAACTTTCCATTTCTATGTAGCAACATTCCAGCAGCGCCTGCATATGAAGTATATATCTCCCATTTGATACGATATCCCAGATCTTGCATTTTGTATCATGATTTCCTTGATAGAGGGTTGATGGTCACGAGGAAGCTATTAAATCAATAGTTCCAAGTTGAAATCGTCCCTTCGAAAATTTCACGGACGCCATCACGAGTTGGTTGATCGTTATGGAATATCTGTTTCACAGATGTAAACGGATAAGTTCAATTGTCGTAACCATAATCCCGTACTCTTTTCCTCCAATGTGACTTACCGAATTAGAATTATTACCGATTTTCCATTCGTTTGATGTGTTTGAGCTACTGATTTTACCATTCGATAAAGAAAGGCAACAGTAGTATATCGCTGTTCAATAGTCATAAATCGATTAAGCGAAAACAAATCCGGGTCACTAACCCAAGGACTTTCAATTTTGAATTTGCCTTGGAGTTAGGTATTTTGTTTTCCTTTTTTCTTTAACAAGGATCTGCTTATCCTCCCTGAAATACCCCGGTTTCTGGTAGGGTTCGTGTTGCCCAGTCTTTAGTTTTCCCTAATAGGTTGTATATCTTGTTGTTTGTCGTTTGCTCGTCACCCGTTTTTTGCTATGGTGTTTTTTTTTCGACTTATGAGTTTAAATGTTCCTTTAGTATATTTCGCCTACCCCGTTCAGGCACGTTTTACGATTACAAACTTTAGAAATACAATAAAATAAAATGCGACTGATAGTGTAAAGAAGAGTTTATATTTATGATATCAATGTTAATGTTCAAAACTAGATAAGCGCTAAAAATGATTTGATAGCATAAGTATTATTTTAGAATTGCAATTTGCAGCACAGTAAATTCATCATATTTTTACACAGTATATATTTTCTGCATAAAAAATTGCCGACAAATTTCATTTCATATAATATATCATAACATTTATTCATAATATATTTTATTTATCTTAATTCTATTAAATGTAAACAGTAGTTTATTTGTCTGAAAACAAAGGCAGTTAATTAATGCAAAAATGTTTGGTTTAAATGGACACGAGCGATTAACAAATGATTGAGTTTATTTTGTTATGTATTGTATTATGTTTGAGTTCATTACTGTTTTGCAGATTTCATTTATTTTGAATGTTTGCACAGCATATACACATTCTCAACACGTGTACATTTAATTAACAACAGAGGCGACAATATTTCGTTCATTTATGTAATAGAAACAACCAAATGTATACCATATAAAATTGAGAGTGGAAACGGGGAATGTGCCAAAGAGACAACAACCCGAACAAAGAGCAAACAACAGACCAAGGCCACCAAAGGGTCTTCAATACAGCGATAAAATCCCGCACCCGGAGGCGGGTTTCAGCTGGCCCCTAAACAAAATAAAATGTACTAGATCAGCGAAAATGGACATCACACTAAACTCCGAAACATAAAGATGAACCAAAAACATAAAGATATACAAGACTAAGAAAGGCAAGAGGCTCCTGCCTTGGGACAGGCGCATAAATACGGCGGGGTTAAACATGTTTTGTGAGATTTCAACCGTCCCCATATACCTCTATCCAATGTAGAATAAACACAAACACACCAATACGCACAGTAAAACTCAGTTTAAAAGAAGTCCGGGTCCGATGTTAGAATAGGTAACAGAAAAACTAAACAAAATGACAATGATACATAAATTAACAAAGGACTACTATCAGTTACTGACATGCCAGCTCCAGATCTCAATTAAACTGATTAAAAGAAAGATTGATTCATGGATCACTTCAAAGATAGATGGATAACTGAAGTGTTTACTATGCCGAACAAAGAACGCATAAATCTTTTAAGTCCGAATTCTCAACTGAACCATGTATGAAATACATTAATCAACGGTACAACGTTCAGTAATTGCAAAGAATCACTCTTAAAGCTTTCCGTTAGAAATTGAATAAGAACTTTACAGAAAAATTCCAATTAATCTACGTTTGTGTAGATTGTGTGATTCAGGTTTGGTTGAACACGAAACATATTTCCTCGTCTATTGTGATCGTTATATGATGCATGAAAAAAGTAAAATAACAAAAATACCGAACTCAAAGGAAAATTAAAAACGAAAATTCCTTTATCAAAAGGCAAAATCAAAAGCTCAAACACATCAAACGAAGGGAAAACAACTGCTATATAACTGACTTGGTACATGCATATCCTTATGCAGAACATAGTGGATTAAATCTAGTTTTTATAGCTAGCTAAACCAAACTGTTACATAAGTGATCATCTTTTTACCTAGTAAATATAAATAAACTCTCTCTAAACGAATCTATAATTGTAAATTTTAAAGCTAATAGCAAACATGTAGCCAACTTTATTGTAGAATGTTCTATAAGAGATAAGACTATCTATTACGTTTTCATCTATATATTGCAAATACCGAAGTTAAGATACTATGTATATCTACATTTACATGCTATAGTTTGAACTCATTTTCTGATGTCTGTTATTTATAAAGTTAAAACATGATAGTTCATCATAAGCCTATAGGCTATTTGGCTGGCTAAATCATTATGCTTATACTCAAAATGCATTGTATTTTAGATATGCAGGTATCACTGTAATAAACTTTTTATTCATTCATTTAATAGATAAAATAAAAATAAAAAGACGTCGTTTGATAGCCAATTAGACAATTATCCACCAGAGTGAAAATGACGTCGATATAATTAATAATAGGTCACAGTGTGGCCTATAACAATGAGTAAACTCATACCGTTTAGTCAGGTATAAAAAGCAACGACACGTTTAAACTGCAAAACATTACAAACTGCCTGATTATAAGAAAAAAAATTATGACAAAGAAATATTACAGACATTAACCAAAGACAACCACTGAATTACAGGCTTTCATCTTGGGACAGGCGCTTAAATAATAAATAAATAATAAACAAATAAACCCTACCATAACCTTGAACAGTGTTGGTGCAGCACAACAAAAGAACAAACTGTAAAACTCATTTGCCAATGGCTTAACTCAATAGATCGACCAGAAGCACAAAATAACAACTAACGTAAAAAGAATTGACTAAAAGCACCGATATAAGAGTATAAGCAGTTACTGAAAGCTAGTTCAAAGCCAATAACATTTAATAATAAATCTTATTCTTCAATACTTAAACATCAATCAGTACACATCCAATTGATTGAGTGTAAGCATAAATAAAAACGAATAGATATAAATAACATGTACGAACAGTAAATTTTATATTTGGTATGGACAATCCCATTTGTAAGAATTCAATTTAAATTTGTTAAAGATTTTTCGGCAATTATTGCTTACAGTATCATTAATGAGGTAATGAAAAGCTCATGATCACACCGAAAATACCCAAATTGGCAGTAGGAAACAGTTCCAAATTAAGCAAGCACACTGGAAATGCCTGATATTGACTGAAAGACTTTTTCGTTTCTTTTTTTACCTACGCGTGATGTTCTCTTTTGCTGGAATGATATTACATAACGGATGTTTAACCCTGTAAATATATTAAGTATATGTTTATCAAAAAGCTGTTAAAATAATAAAGTACATGTATTTGATTGTAGTTTTTAGGTTGATTATCGGTGTCACTCTTCTTAATCAATGCAGGGGTGAGTTAATATTTAGTTTTTCTACTGATTGACTTCATGTAAGAGTGGATTATGTCCAAACTATTTTTTTTAATAGCAATCGTTTCTTCAGTCAAGTTGTTTCGTTTTTTTTTAATTGTTGTAGGGGGTTTTAGTCAAAGTATTTAGGTAAATGTTTGGATTTGAAAATGTAAGCCTATCAAAACTAGATAATTATTTGCATGAATTGCTTGAACATTCTGTACAAAAAAACAAAGAAGATGCATTTGCACATTCGATGGGTGAACCATTGATTCAATATTAATTCACTCTACACTTACTGAAATAGTAACAATATTATAACTCAATACATATGACATATCAAGTAGCAATAAACAAAAAACAACAGTAAAACTCTGAATCACCTAAAAACAAACTTAAATCCTATGTATAACGTGCACACAAAAGGGGAATTAGCTTGAAATACAAAGGATTTTCCACCCAAGGAATAGATTAGCTTATTAGTATTTCAAAAAAATCATAGTTTTGTAAACAGCTAATTTATAATTTGAACATAGCAATGAAAATGCATGTCATGACAGAAGTGCTGACTACATTAAACATAGAAATGCTGCCTACATTTAAACATCCGAATGTCAAACTTTAGGATTTCGTTGAATTAGAAAATAGACACAAAACAAAAATAACAAAGTGTTCTTCCTACTGTATTATATAATTAGTGACTAACGTAGGGAGAACGGTTTAGGGACCTTAATGCAAAAGTAATAATTAAAATTTCATAACAGAGAAATATTACTTCTATTTAGGTTTAACATGTCTTTTCTGTGATCGTGCCACAAGCATAAATGATTGCCTTACTAATACTGCACCATGCAGGGATAGAGATGAGGTACTGTGTATTTTATTATTCTTGTATTCGTCCAACCCTCGAATATGAATTTCTCCCTTCGATTTATTCAGATTATTTCCGTACGTTACCTCAGGTTTCGAGGAAGGAAGATATCCATTACGCGATAATGAATATCAAGTGTTCCGTTGTTAGAAGTTTTGTTTGATTTGATAACGTCGAAAAAACTGCATCTTATCAACACAGACTTTAAATAAAAATTATGTTAATCGTCAGCGCTTAACAACTAATAGTTTAAATAATAATTTTTTGAAAAAAAATTAGGAATTTAAGTTCATTTTTTCAAAAGATCCGTTTCCGTTAATCTCACTTTTAATCTATCTTAAGTTACCTTACGTATTCCAATAATTTTACTTTTTTTATACTAAACATTCATAACAATAAAATTGAGGTTCTTTTCCCCTTTTAGTAACAATTTGAGTCAATATGCAAATTATTTAAAAGCTCTGTTTTCATCGGATAAGAATTGAACAAAGGAAAACAAGTATACTCTGTGTAAATTATAGAAGTACAAAACTGTTTATTCTATTACTTTGGCTGAAATAATTGAATAAACAGGAAAACAATGAAAAATAGGTCATAAACTAAAGACTTAAATGTACCCATTAAACATGGTGAAGAAGTAACAAATGATATTTGTATCCTCAATCGTCAGTATTTAGTCAGCATTTATAAATTATACAGAAACAAAGGTTCCAACCCCTCAAGCACATTTACCTGTACATTTGGCTTTTCTTGTAAATCCCGTTTTGCCTTTAGCACCTGGCATATTCGTTTGTAGTTGTAAATCTTATTTTTTTCTGTTCTATTCGTGTGTTACGGTAAAGATAATTAATCACCCAGTTCATTTATAAGATTTCAGTTTGGGTCAACTAAATTTATACGATGTATTTAGTTTACAGTTTGATTTAGAAGAAATACTGACATAGCTTGATAATACAATTGATTATCTAATTACTACCACAATTTTATATTAATAAGTATTGTAATTTTCATTGTTTTAATACATGTTATATCAGTATTACAAACCTAATCTGGAACTCTATCCTATTTTTTAGAAATTTATAGAAATTTAAATGTGACGTCACATTGTGCGTCGATTTCTTCGGCTAACATATAATACGTTGTTCGGCTGTGCCTTTTTTATGTGCTGATTTAGGTTGTTTAATGTATTCGTTTTTATTCTGTAGTTAGTCACCACATCGGTGTTAACATGTATATCTATTATATAGTCATTTTTATAAATTTACTGTTTGCAAAAGTATGAATTATTCTAAATACCAAGACTTTTCTTATCCCAGGCATATAACCTTAGCCGTATTTGGCACAACTTTTTGGAACTTTTGGTCCTCAATGCTCTTTAACTTTGTACTTGTTTTGGCTTTCGAACTTTTTTGATCTGAGCGTCACTGATGGGTCTTATGTAGACGAAATGCGCGTCTGGCGTATTAAATTATAAGCCTGGTACCTTTTGATAGCTATTATTTGTGTGTGTCGCTGTCCTGTATGTTCTCCCATTTATTTGTATTGTAGTCCTGTCATGTAATCTTGTCATTTTAATGTTATATTTAACATAGCCATAAAAGCGGGAGGTTTGGCTAGCCACAAAACCAGGTTCAACCCGCCATTTTTTCTGAAAATGTCCTGTACCAAGTCAGGAAAATGGCCATTGTTATATTATAGTTCGTTTCTGTGTGTGTTGAGTTTCTGTTGTGTCGTTGTTCTCCTCTTATATTTGATGTGATTCCCTCAGTTTGTACCCTTGATTTGTTTTTTTCTCAATCGATTTATGAATTTCGAATAGCGGTATACTACTGTTGCCTTTATATTCAAGTAAATATACATCCCAGGCTTTCTTGACTTTATTTAAAGTTTGAGCATTCCTGGTCAGGTTAAATCAAGAAAAGCAATTGTGACACACACAATTTATATAATGTTATTTCTATTTATTCAAAAATGTTATTTGCCACCAACTAATGTGTATCTCAAAATCACAAAAAAAAAAAGAAGCTGTGTCGACTTCCCATAATGAAAGAGAAAAGCATAAATACTGAGTCGAATCATCCTAAATAATTTTTTTCTTACTCCTAACTCCAATTCTATCGTGTGATTTTTGTACTTTGTGTTACTTCGTAATTATTCGATGTCTTAAGTGTATAGCTTAAAGTAAGTAACAGATACAACCAGTTCAAGTAGTAGTTAGTCATCTTTCTGTGAGACGAGGACATGACGCTTTTGAAATTTATGTGCAACAAGGAGTACCATATAATTAAGATTTAAACAGCTACGGATTACTAACATTTCGTCTGAAGAGTTAATCAATATCAATGAGTTTTTATATTACGACTTCACATATCTTATCTAAACCTGGTATTCAAATATAATGGTTTACTTTTATAAATTTTGACTTGGGTGGAGAGTTGTCTCCTTGGCACTCATACCACATCTTCTTATATCTATATAAAAATATTCATGGTATTCATTTTAAACAAAGAAGTCTTAATAAATGTAGTAGTTCATTGAAATTTAGGATTCAATTGGAACTCAACATATCGTTTTTAATCTAAATTTTAGGAATGTTTTCTAGACCAAACAGTGCTTCTTGATTTATCTAGGGTGTTTTCAGCAGGATGCAGATCGAAACAGGTAATTACTTTTGTATATAATTGCCAAAGGATAGAGACAGATGTTGTATGGTTGTCATGGATACACATATTCTCCATGAATGATCAAGGAATGTCTCATTAGAAAATTTGAATTTGAATATACAATTAACAATTAATTGTATTATCCAACAAATTAAAAATAACTACAAAAATACAATTAAATTGATTGATAAAGAAAATAATAGTAGAAGTACATCGGAATAGTCTTACATTGTACTTCCTAAAAAATAAAAAAATAAATTATTACAAAAATATACAAATAAAAATGCTGCAATATATCTGTTTTCTTTAAAACCCTTTAACCGTCTTGGAAAAAGAATGGTTTTAGCACCTAAGAATAGTTTCTTCAAAAAAGCATCTACCAAGTTAAAAATACAATAACCTTAAATGTTATGGAACAAATAAAAACGGATAAATATTTCATAATGTACTTTAAAATATTTGACCTGTGTATAAAGGTTTTTTCAGTTTTACATAATTGCCCTTACAAACAACGTGATATTGGTGAGGCAGCCAATTGCGCTACTATATCTTTATTCAAATTAGAAATATATGTGCTATAAACATTCAAAACAGGACTTCTGTGAAACTATCAATTCAAAACTGAAAAAGGAGATTGAAAAATTATTAGCCAAATTTATTTCATAAAACAGATTGACCAAACGCAAATACAAATATTCTGTTTTAAGAAGTGCACATCAATAATTGATTTTTGTAAAATAAACCATCTGATTCGAACAAAGACTAACTGAAACTGACATCATCAAAATGGAGTTTTTATTAACAAGATATGTATTACATTTGAAGAACTTTTATTGTAATGAGCAATTTGCATAACTGTGTTGCTTTGCTTGCCAACTTATTCCTTTAGTTTTTTGTAGACGAAACCCGCGTCTGGCGTATATAATTATAAGCCTGGTATCCTTGATGATTTTGTTTTACGAGAAATACTTCATACAAAGACTTCTCATGAAAAATGAAAAGCTGACCTTTATATGATATCCTTTCACAGAATAATTCAAAGTTTGGTGACTAAGTTGACTGCATATACATGTATCTAAAGTATTCAACATCAACAAAGTTATACCACAGATACATTTAAGTCTACCTCATATCTTGACCTTCATAAAGAAATTGACAATGAGTGTCGGTTGAAAACTAAACTTAGCGACAAAAGAGGTTATTTTGATTTTACGATTTGTTTGTCGAAACATTAAAGCAGTAACTGCATATTGAGTATTACTCCTAATATATATGATAATTAAGGACTTGCGTTTCCTATCATGATTTTAGTCCACATCCTTCCTGGTCATATGAGTTCAACCCCTGTTTTAGTTGCGTCAAGATGCGCAATTCATTTCAGGAAGGCGGTATTGGCAGCCTTTTCCTCATTTCCTCTGCCCATATTGTTAATAGGATATGTATGGTAGCTCGTTTCGAAGCTGAGACATTTTCACACACATTTGGTTAGTTTTTGGGGTACGAAATGCGATTATTTGTTTCCGTAATTTAGCATTTTCGGAAAAACGTTTTGTTATGCGGTTTCTTGTAGTAAAAAGATCCCTTTTATAGTACCCTGCTCTTCAAATCAGCACCGATGGTGACGCTCAGTCAGCTGATAAAAATTCAAACGTGACCAATATAAATGCACAAAGATTTTTTGTTTACGTTTACGTACTTTTTTTAAGTTCCTAAATTTAAGCGCATTGGGGTTATTGACCCAGTTTGGTGAGTGCTGCAGTCAAGGAGCGAAACAATGTACGTCGAAATGGAAAGCGTATCCTAATATGCATGCACCAATCGCCATGAAAACTAGCACTGAAGCAAAATGTCACAATCAGGAATTGAAAAAAATCGGTAGATTGCTTATTCATCAGGAGGTACTCAAAGTACTGAATTGTAATGAAGTTACAATTTTTAAATAGTCAGTACTACCATTTTTTATTTGTTTAATTACCGTACACTTATATGGTAACCATTCGTGTAAAACAATCGATATTAAGGTACCAAAAGTACTGAACTTTATTAAGTACATAATATTCATGAAATAAGAAAATATTGGCAGCTTTTATAAATAAACGTAGCAATGTTAAACTAATTTTGCGTCCATTTTATGTAAAAGAATCCATCCTCAGTTATCAAAAATGCGGAATTAAACATATTTATTCTAAAACCAGTTGTTGGCATGACACGGGTTATGTTCTTCTCATATATTTTATGACGGTATAATACTAAACCCTTAACAGGAGGGATTGTGCCTGATATTCATATGATGAAAACATAATCTTTCAATCAGTTTAATTGAGGTCTGGCATGTCAGTAACTGCTAGTAGTCTGTTGTTATTTATGTATTATTGTCATTTTGTTTATTTTCTTTTGTTTCCTATTCTGACATCGGACTCGGACTTCTCTTAAACTGAGTTTTACTTTGCGTACTGTTGTACGTTTGTTTTTTTCTACATTGGCTAGAGGTATAGGGGGGTTGAGATCTCAAAAAACATGTTTAACCCCGCCGCATTTTTGCGCCTGTCCCAAGTCAGGAGCCTCTGGCCTTTGTTAGTCTTGTATCATTTTTAATTTTAGTTTCTTGTGTATATTTTGGAGTTTAGTATGACGTCCATTATCACTGAACTAGTATACATATTTGTTAACGGGCCAGCTGAAGAACGCCTCCGGATGCGGGAGTTTCTCGCTGCATTGAAGACCCATTGGTGGCCTTCGGCTGTTGTCTGCTCTTTGGTCGGATTGTTGTCTCTTTGACACATTCCCCATTTCCATTCTCAATTTTATGAATTATATACTCCATAAAAATAGACAAAATGGCACTATTAATTGTTTCCAACCAAAAGTTTGTTAAACAGTATACGTTTTAGCTCATAATCTGTGTAAAACGATCCATCCTGTGTAGTAGTACTGAGTTACAATGTCGGTACTTAAATATTAGCACTTTTAACTATTACCAACAAAAAGTTGAGAATATTTCACACATAAAACTCAGAATTAGTATACAAAAACCTTTTCTGAACCACCAAAAGATCTGTTTAAAAGCCGGTACATGATTTTCGAGAAAAAAGGAAATATTGGCATTTTTATCTATTGATGACAAAAGTTGCAGTTAACGTAAACTTGTATAGCTCAGGGAGTGTGGGAAACAATTCATTCCAAGGAACCAAAATAACCGAATTTTATTGCCGGTACATGAAATTACAAAAAAAGAACCATTGGAGCATTGAATAGATGGGGACAATAATCTAAGCAATTTCAAACTTCAATTGATCCAGTGATATGTAAAACATCCATCCTGAGGAAATAAAAGTACTGAATTATAATGACTTTAAATTATCTTTCAGAGAAGGACGAAGTCTTGGTACTTTTAATTATTGCCACAAAGATTAGGTTACAGTACACATATTAAGTAAAATGCCGGAAATTGGTTTTGGTCAAAAATAAAACATACAGACACTCTTAAGTATTGGCAACAACACTTTAAATAAACTTTCACATATATAAGAATATAATTCGAGTAAAGCATTCGAAGAGGAAATATTGGAACCTGAAATAGATTGCGACAACAAATGCAGCAATTTAAACTCAGATTCCTCCTACCGTGCGTTATAAAAATGCTGCATTAAAATATCAGTACATGATTTTCAAGAAAAAGAACAAATATTGGCGCGATTTATTGTTGCCTACAAATGTTTTAGTTGTCATGCTGATATAGCTCACAATGTCTGTACAAAACCCAACTTTAGGTAACAAAATTATGAGTTATAATATCAGTACATGATTTTGACGACAAAAAACATATTAACACTTCTAACTATTGACACCAATATGATAAATGACGTATCACAATTACAACTCAAAATTGGAGTAAAAAAGTGCATCATAAGGTACGAAAATAACTTATTGTATATGCTGGTACATAATATTCAAGAAAAAAGATAATATTGGCACCTCTAATAGATGACGACAGAAAATCAAGCAATTGTAAAATTAAAATGCTCCCATTTTAGGTAAAACAATCCAAGATATCCAAGGAACTGATTTATAATACCCGGCAATGCGCGGTCTAACAAAAAAAAAAAAAAAAAAAAAAAAAAAATTATGAGTTATAATTTCAGTCCATTTCAATTTAAAGATTTTTTTATTTAAAAACAAATCTTTTTTTTAAAACAAAGCAATTATTTTATATCTCTACCTGTGTGACGTTTACATTCTGACGTCAGTCTACGCCAGAGTTAATGTTAAAATTACGATTCGGTCCCAGTGCTTAAAATCCCTCGATCCTTTATGGGTTGATTTGGCATACATAAATAAAATACAAAAATAAGTAAGCAATGAACGAGGTTGTTAAATGTGATATATGCTTTGTTGTGCTTCTTAATTATTTGTTTGTTTTTGTTGTGATTAAGATTGTGACACGGTGTTGACTGTTGTACCCCTATTTTGACATTTTTACCTTTTATGTCTGTTTGTTTAATTCACGCATCGTTGTCAATATATTGGAATTTGATGAGACTGTCATACAAGTGAGAGGGTTTAGCGCTATTAAACCAGGTTCAATCCACCATTTTCTACATAAGAAAATGCCTGTACCAAGTCAGGGATATGACAGTTGTTGTCCTTTTGTTTGATGTGTTTGTGCTTTTGATTTTGCCATTTGATTAGGGGACTTTCCGTTTTGAATTTTCCTCGGAGTTCAGTATTTTTGTGATTTAACTTGATATGATTAATCAATATATCTAGGATGCCATGACGTCGTTAACGCACGTTTTCTACGCAAAATAATTATGCGTTTACTTTTATCAAAAATAAAAAACGCTCAGGTTTTACGTTAGCGCAGAAAAACACGTGTGGTGACTTTTTATATCAACTGAAATTTTGAAGTTTGCGCAGAGTTAACGGGGCATTTACGTTCAGTACACATGAGTTACGGCCGCGTTAACTTTTCCTCTTTTCTTAGTCTTTAGCTATAGA